TGGGGTTTAGGGATAATTCTCCCAAATAGTAGGATTCTGTTAACAAAAGGAACCTCACTAAGGTGCCCGTAATTTCGCAAAACCCTCACACAGGAATTACTGCTAAGGGTTGGAGCCATGGGCCCTTAGTATGGTTCCTTTACCCTTGTTTACAGGGATCCGAAGTACGGGCCCTTCTGAAAAGTGTATTATACGGTTTGAAAAAAAGGACCCAGATGCAGGGCCCATACTTGGAACCTGAGATACTTGAAAACCTGAGATACTTGGACTTAAAGTGCTTCCTATATGCAGTAAACTCCAGAAAGTGGGAGCATGGGTTAAGGACGACTAGAGCTGAGATTCCCTTTAGCGTACCCTTTGGGGTATGGGGATAAGTAGGTTCCAACTTTCTGGAGTTTACTGTAGGCACTTTACGGCCCAAGTATCCCTAAACCCTAAACCCTAAACCCTAAACCCTAAACCCCAAACCCTAAACCCTACACCCTAAAGGTTTCCTTAAGCCCTAAACCCTAAGCCCTACGCCCTAAACCCTAAACCCTAAACCCGAAACCCTACACCCTACAGTAGTATGTAGGGTTTAGGTTTAGGGCTAGGGTTTAGGGTTTAGGGTTTAGGGTTTAGGGTTTAGGGTTTAGGGTTTAGGGTTTAGGGTTTAGGGTTTAGGGTTTAGGGTTTAGGGTTTAGGGTTTGGGGTTTGGGGCTTGGGGTTTGGGGCGTGGGGTTTAGGGTAGGACTTTGACTTCGGGTGTAGGATTTAGGGTTGGATGCATGGCCTCGGACCGTAGGGAATTTGGGCTTTGGGGTTTGGGCTTCTTTGGGGACGGTCCGTCCCTTCATCGCGAGCCTGGAGCCAGAATCCAGCGACGCGGCACTCCACACGTGTGTCGCACTGTGGAAACTTCTCCGGCTTCTTCGGCTTCTTCGTTTCCCTACTACCCCCCCCTTATACTACCCCCCCTAGCTTCCTCCCTTCAATAGCCTCAACTAGGCTTGATTATCCCTAAATAGTCTTGACTATGGGGGGAACCTGAAGGGGTTGTATAGAGGGGGGTAGTTGGGCCATGACCTCTCCTATCCGGGCTGCCCACTGTCCGGCCCTTGCGACTTGTCAGAGTGCACCTATAATGGGAGGTTTGTGACTCTGGGGAAACACTTCCGTCTAAAACCCTAGACTGCACACATGCAAGTTGCAGGGGCGTGCCGCCAAACGGCAGATTTTCAGTTCTGAGAGCTGCTGCGCAACACCTTCTATGTCTACCCAGCCCTAAACCCCAAACCCAAGAGCCTTAAACCCTCACCTCTTACATGGGGGGTCTTCGAAAACCCTAGAAACCCTACACCCCTAAATCCCTTCCCTTAAACCCTAAAAACCCACAAACCCCCAACGGACCCTAAGATGTTGAAGCTGCCCCTCAGGGTCTTGCGGCAGATGCCTTGGTGCTGGCATGGGTTTAGGGTTTAGGGTTTAGGGTTTAGGGTTTAGGGTTTAGGGTTTAGGCGGTTTAGGGTTTAGGGTTTAGGGCATAGGGTAAGCAACGAAGCTTGCAGGTCTTTACGGGCTAAAATACCTAATTATCATGGGTTTCCCTCCTACTCCCTCTATACTACCCCCCCCCCTTCCTCCCTAACCTTAGTCAGGCTTGATTATCCCTAAACACCCTTAATTATGGGGGGAACCTAGTGGGGTAGTATAGAGGGGGGTAGTTTGGGAACCCCAAAAACCTAAAACCCTAAACCCTAAACCCTATAGAGAGGGGGGTAGTAGGGGAACCCATGAAACCACCTTGGCTGCGAGATCTGCTTTGCCTCTAGGGTTTTTAGGGTTTAGGTTTCTTGCGCGCTGAGGATTCCGAACTAAGAGCCTTTAGGTTTTCAGGGTCTTAGGTTTAGGGTTTAGGGTTTAGGGCTTCTTGAACTCAATCAGAAAGCTACAAAAGACTCCCCAAAGGGAGCTCTCAGAGTCTCTAGTTTATGGAGTTTAAGTTGTTCCGGGCTTTCTTCTACATGAGACTCAAAGAACCGTACCATTTCAGGGATCGACTAGTTCTGTGGGGGACCCTAAATCCTAAACCCTAAACCCTAAATCCTACACCCTAACAAATCCTAAACCCGAAAGCCTAACCCTAAACCGTGTCGGGCTTCGGGTCCAACATCCTGAATTTTCACACGCTGAACCGCTAAACCCTGAACCCTAAACCCTATATCCCCCCCCCTCCCAAAGGCCCAAAAATAGCTCAGAAGCCGTAGTCTCGCTGGTTTGGTTGCCCCAAGTTCTGGAGGAACCCAAATGAGCCCAATACCCCTCAATACACGAACCTCCCTTAACTTATTTTGAAATCCTTAAGATCACCTACGGCAGATTCCAGATGTAAGGGGTATTGGGCTCTTAGGGCATAGCACCTCTTGCCTCGGCCTCGGTGACTCAACCCGAAACCGTAACATTCTCAACTTTTAAGCCCTAGTGGAGGTTCATGGTACTTAATAAACCCAATTATCACCGCACTTATAACCCAATCATAACCATGTTAGGGCACTTAAGTGGCTTACAAGCGGGTTTATAGGACAGTTAGAACTGGGTTATAAGTACCATGAACCTCCAAGTAAACCCTAAGCCTGACAGGACCCCTTCAGCCTTTCTGGCTTTGAAGCCTCTCAGGCTCTAAAGAGTCTTGTTTTGGGCTTTTTTGGTTTACAGGCCTTCTTAAATAAGCTTGTACAGCTGTCGTTTAGGGTTTAGGGTTTAGAGGTGCAATGTTGTGGTACTCTGTCAAAACAGCTCCTCCGAAAGCTACTATGGTCCCGTAACTTTCCAAGTGTAAGGTTGAAAGAAGTATCTGCCATACACAACATTCAACTGGTGAGTGAAACGAAATCGGATGCATTATAACTATATGTGATACATATCTCTATATATATATATATATAATGTAGATGTTGGCAAAAGATCCAACATGACTCGGAGGAAATCATTGCATGATATGGGGAAGATATAATAGCCCATTGAAATGCCAAGTTTATGTGAGAGCCCAATACCCCTTAATTGAGAAAAAAGCAATATCTTAAAATCATGCTAAGGATCCCAAGGTATATACCTTGATTAGGGGGGGGGGGGGGGTATTGGGCTATAATAATAACAACAACAATTATTATTATTATAATTATTCTTATTATTACAATAATAATAATGATAATAAGGGTACCAAAACATGTCAGCTTGATCCCCCACGGAACCTGCGGAAGCGGTGGCAGCAAGTGGAGGCGCGCGGCTCGTGCGGATAACCTCTTGGAGTACCTTGGCAGACTTCGATGTTCAACTTAAGTAGCCCATTTACGGTTTAGGGTTTAGGGTTTAGGGCTTAGGGTTTAGGGTTTGTGCTACTAGGATGGCCCTGAAGACTCTTTGAAAGATATTCCTTAAATTCTGATCCTCTTAAAAGCCCAATCAGGGAGAACAGACATGTCCCAAGGCCTACCTAGCATCACAAGGGGCCCTTTCTGGGGTTGGCTAGTGTGTACCGGAACCTTGAACCAAAAAAGTGCAAAAGAATGCCACTGGGATGCCAATCCTTTATCCTAGACCCTGAACCCTAAAGCCTTTTTCGGGGTTTACACGGTCTAAGGAGCTCCATGCACTTAGTTGCTTAGTCCATAAGCCCCCAAAAAAGTGTGCACTTGTAGTTTTGCAGGGATTGTAGTATCCCAAAAAGTGTAAGGTGTGCTCACTCAGCTACTAAGCGCAAAGGTATGAGGCTGCGCAAGCCGCCTCCCGGAAGAGCTCCCCCGGAAGCCCTGGTTAAGTTCCGTGAACGTCTCTACAAGCTCCCCTAAACCCTAGACCCTAGACCCTAGACCCTAAACCCTAAACCCTAAACCCTAAACCCTAAACCCTAAACCCTAAACCCTAAACCCTAACCGGAAACATTAAGCCCTTAACCCCAAGGGTTGGGGGTGCCGGCTGCACGTCCGAGGGCTTGTGAGGGGGGGGGGGGGGGGGGCGGGGTGGGCTCTGGTCGCGTGTCAAAGACGGGGCCTTCGCGCTGACGTTTTGCAGGGGTTGGGTGTTCGGTTTAGGGTTTAGGGTTTAGGGTTTAGGGTTTAGGGTTTAGGGTTTAGGGTTTAGGGTTTAGGGTTTAGGGTTTAGGGTTTAGGGTTTAGGGGAGGGCCCTCTTGGGTTTGAAGGCTGGGATTTGGCCTCGGGTTAAGGTCTAGTGGTTTGAGGTTTGGGGCTTGGTTTTGCAGCAAGTTTATAGACCCTAAACCCTAAACCCTAAAGCCCCTCCATGTTAGCAATGAGTCCTAAACCCTACCTAAACCTTACAGTCCTAAACCCTAAACCCTAAACCCTGAACACTAAACCCTACACCCCAAATGCTACACCCAACGCCCTCTGCACTCAATGCCCTGAGCTCTAATGCAAGCCGAAACTCTCTGCCGCTTGGAGGACATCCTCAGTCTGAACCCCCTAAACCCTAAACCCTAAACCCTAAACCCTACACCCTAAACCCTAAACCCTAAACCCTAAACCCTAAACTCCAAAACCAAAGCCCATGTCTGGATGACTCTCTGGGCTGCTGAGGTGAAGGGTTCGTGACGGTAATATAAACAAAATTGGAATCATTTTAACTCATTAGCTAATAAGTTGATATATTGTTGAGTAATATTAAATTTGTTTTTTGTGTTTTTGACTAATTGGCTAATTACTATATTTGTACCAAGCTTCATTAACACTATTTGTATGCACGATATGCAGTGGAGCCAGACGTTGGCTCGGGTTCGGGGCTGAGGGTTTTAGGGGAAGGGTTCAGTGTTTCGGGGTTTCAGGGTTTTACTTAGGGTCTTAGGGTTCTAGGGTTCTAGGTTGGTTGGTTCGAAGTCCCGGTAGGACAGGCTTGTGGGCTCAAGCCAGATGCGTAAGCTTGCAGGAGCCCAAAGTGTGAGGCCAGCATGCCAGCACCGCAGTGTCTGGACGTAGCACCCCCAACACTACCTGCGCGCGCTTCTCACGAAACTGTCTTCCAGAAGTTCTGCGCACTTCGCAGAATCTCAATGGCAAGCCTCACTACTTCCGAGTATGCCGGATGAGATGGGGGAATGGCCAAAATTTCCAGAGAGGAAAAGTCAGCGCCAAGGCGTAGACAGACCTCCCTCAATTCTGCCAAGCGTTCGCAAGAGCATACGACATGAGCGGTGACGTTCGAGTAGCGCCTGCCGCAAAGAACGCACGCCTGAATGCGAGCAGCGGCTTGCCTCTGGTTCACATGCCCAAGTGCCACGTAGCCACACCTAATCATAATCAAGGCACGCTGCCCCAGCAATGTCTCCCAGGGAGCATAATTGGACAGTGCTTCCTGCAGATGGCTACATGGACCAGAGGTCAGCTGGGAATATGGTATGGGGGAGGTGTGCGAGGAGACAGATTCATCCCACGTGCGTTTGGCAGCGGCCAAGAGCTCACCTTTAACGAAACTTTTGTAGGATCCACCAGCTTTACCTGACAATACCCACTCAGGCCAGTCCAAGATGTGATGCTCACGAAGCAGCGCCAAGGATCTGACAGGCCAGTTTGCTGCCTTTGACGTGAGTCCGCGGGTGAAAGTCAGGCCGGCAAGTGTTTCGTCACCCTGTTGCCACAGGAAAGCTCACCAGAGCGACTTCTAAAACTACACGAGCTTGAGTACCAAAAGTCCACCCAAGCTCGCTGAAGCACACAGCAGCATTGCGCCACTTGCTTGCTCCTGTAAGTTTCCGAGACCAGCGCTCGTAGGCGAGTCTGAGCGCGCTCTGTGCTGCTTCATCTAAACCCCACAACCACCTACCAAACCTAAGGACCGACTCAACCTTCTGGTCAAAGATGAGCACGGCAAAGGCTAGTGGGATCCGCTGCGAAGTCAACAACGTACACAACATGTCCACTGTGGCAGAGCACTGTGCCAGAAGTGGAGTGACATGAGACATCCACTCACCACACACTGCCCATTTAAGTCCGAGCCATTTGTGAACCTGCACGCCCTCAAGCGGGGCAGGAAGCAGAGGGGCATGCTGAGGAAAAAGCAAAGGATGAATTACTGTCTCAGATTGCTGCAAGCCTGGTCTCCACTGCTGCACTACAGTCTTGGATGGCCCCAAATGGAGAGAAACCTTGACGTCCCAAGCCCAAGCAGCAATGACTCCAAGGGTCCTAAGCGCTTCTCCTCGGCTGGACGCCAAAATGAGGGGATCATCGGCATGCAGCAAAACGGGTATCCTGTCATTGTCTAGCAAGTCTAAAGCACGTGCACAAGTTGCTTCAAGATCAGAATTGCGAGCCAGGTCAGCTACACGGGGCAGCTGTCGGCCAGAGGCAATATCGTCTGCAATGCTTTGTGCCTTGCGCAAGTCAGGACTCCCGGAGCCTGACCAGGTGTGAGAGGCCCAGGCCTTAGGAACCCAAGCGCTTGTCGCAAGACCACAACGAGCTTCACGCATTCTGCGAACAAGCGTGTTTGGCAAGAAGTTGAAGCAGGGCGGTCCGTACTTGCTCCCTTCCGGAACACCATCAGCTACTGTGGCAACAGACTCGCCACTTAGCGCAATTCGCCAGAAGTCGCACTTCATGACCGAAGCTAGTAAAGCGAAGGCCCCATCTCGAATACCTGCAGTGTGCCGAGCCTCAACCAAAAGCAAGTCCCGCCATGCCCTCGGAAACGCGTGAACGAAGTCAGCAAAAATGACAAAGAAAGCGCGACGCCAGCACTTGTAGTCATCTTGAAGGACAGAGAGAGTGAGATGATGATGCAAAACATCAAACCGATAGCCCGTTTGAACGAAATCAAAAGATGAGTGGATGACAGGGCTGATCCTTGACATGAGGATTTCTTCTTGAAGAAGACCGTGCAGCTCAGCCACTCCTAGAAAGCGGAAAGACGATTCGTGACAGACAGGCCCCTTCTTATGCTTGACAATAAGAAAACGATGCCTCCACAAGGCTGGCCGCCAGGCAAGGCATGATGGCCCGCATACTTGTTGCAGTTTCCAAGCGGCATGACACCACTCATTAGTGCCACAAGCTAGCAAAACTCGATGTGAAAGAAAAGGCGTGACAGTGCGTGATGACTGGATGTTTGCAGCAGCCCTGTACCACTCAGAGAAGTCAATCTCAGCATCCCAGGGTCCCTCACCAATGTGTGCACGAGCTTGACGACTATACTCCTGCGCGCGGCGGCAAACCTCAGAATGGAACTCAGCATTGTAGCTAGTCGGCCACTTTCCCTGCGTAAATAGCTGGGAGATCCATGCCTCATGGCTTGCTGCCCTTGTCCGCAGGCGTCCATCGTGGTTTAGGCGTTCTGGCGGTTGAGGACGCGCAGGCCTGAGCCATCTCAGACAAGTAGAGATGGCCGACTGTGGCCAAATCCCATTTTGTTGTCCTTGACGAAGCAGTCGTTCAAGTTCGTCTTCAGAGAAAGGTTCCTGCTGAGCTGCAGGCAAGGCAGCAGCGCGAGGCCTTTTACGCTTGTCTAC